CAAAAAGTGTTTGACAGCCATAGAATGAATATGAATATTTAACTTATAAATTTTACATCGCCGAAAATTTGAAAGAACCATTTACACAAACGGTTTTTGAGTAGCCTTATTTGCTTATTTCAATGCAAAACATATTTTAAATTCAAGAAAATAGCAAACAAATGTGCTCAGGTCTACAACTTTCCGAACTAACATCAAGAACACAGTCCCTGGAAAATGTGTTTTAAAAAAAATACAATTGAACAACTGGCTTGGTATCTGTATTTCGTGTCTTAATTGATGTATGTGTTTTACTGGATAAAATTAGATTAATTTCACCCAGTTACAGTTACTTGTAACCTTAAGCATCAAGGTGTTTTAACTTCAGGTTTCGACCGTCTCGACTAAAAAATGGTCTGCTTCGACCGTCTTAACCAACAGAATCTCAACCAAAATCTTTCAAATTACATAAAATAGTCAAAATTATATATCTTAGTTGATGTTTTTTGGGTAGAATCTCAGGATTCGTTTTTTTATTAGAATGACATTATTGAACATTTTGCATTTAAAATTTTTGTAGCGATAAACTACTTTTGAACTAAGTTTTTGCTATTTATTTTAACTTTTGTTTTCAATTTGAGACGAAAATGTTTAAAAAAATCTTATGGATTGTAAATGAGTAAAAAGCTTGCGTTTTCCCGTGTTGACTTTCTTAGACCGAAAATGCTAGTCATACAGTTCCATAAACTGAGCCTCTGAAAAAAATACCAGTCATACAAATTTCATACATTTTGCTAAAATGGTGTCATCGAGTTTTCGAAGAACTTTTTTCCTGTTTTGGCTTAAAAGTGTATCGTACAAAAAAAACTTTTTGTCAAAAAATGCTAATCATACAATTTCCATATATGGAAACTGTATGAATAGCATTTTTTGATGGCGACAGGTAATTTCAAAAATTCCTCAAAATTGTTTTTGTTTTTTATTCAACCGCAAATCGAATTTTGTTTAAAAAAATGTTGCATGCAAAATTTAATATTTTGTGTGCATAAGGAAGGCCTGGATACACAAAAAATAGGTTCTTGTCAAATCATACAGTTTTCATATATGGCGATTGTATGACTAGCTATTTTTGATGGCGAAAATAAAAAATATTCCGAGTATTTTCGAAATTGCTCTGAAATTGTTTTTTGTACTCAAATAAACAAGTTTAAAAAAAATATTTTGCCGGCAAAATTTACTTTTTTTTGTGTACATAACGTAGTCCAAATTGTTTTCCATTTCTCTGGATAATTTTTTTTCAAAAACACCTAAAACTTTTTTTATGATATGTTTATGTATGTTTTGATCAATGTCTGATAATTTAAAATTAAAATTTTTTTGCCAAACTTAAGTAAATGTTTGATGCTTCCAGTTTCTGGTTTGTGTCAGAAAACCTTCATACTTTTCACGTCGTTTCCAATCCATTGTAAATGCTAGACAATCAAACCTTTGGTGACTCTAGTTTGGAGTAAACCATGGTTTTTGTCTCTTGTGGTCGGCCCCAATATTGAGAAGTTATTTGAGAAATTACCTGCAACCCCCCAAACGTAAATGTGGGAGGCGGTGGCCTAATAAGAAGGGAGGTTGCAAGCAACTAACTGAAAAGTTTTTTATATCCAAAAAAGAGGGATTCATTTTGTATAAGAAAATTATTTTGGTTGAAGTTTTCAACAAAAGTCAGAAACTTTGTCAAACATTTTTCTTATACAAGTAGTATTAGGCCAAGAAGCAACTGTTTAATTTTGAATACACTGCACTGTGTTTGAAAAATTCAAGCTAATTTCAGAAGAAAAAAAAAGATCAAATTACATTATAATGATTATATTCGGTTAAAGGGGATTTTTTGGCTCGACAAAAAAATTAGACTTAAACCCATTTTTATTGTTTTATAATTGATTGTTTTTGGTTTTTAAAAAGACCCACAATGAAAATCCAATACAATCGTTATTATTCGTGAAATTCTAGTGAGGGTACCTCATAAAACTAGTTGGAGATGAATGAAAACTTACCTAGAGAAAAATTTACAACTTATGGAATTGCATGAAAAGTGCAAGATTGGAATTTTTACATATATGAAAAATGTATGACTAGCATTTTTAGTCAAACCGCGCTTGCTTTCGTATTACTGCGGTAAAATCCTACTCGTGCTCTGTTTCGACCGGATTCGAGGCATGTCTCGACCACGCTCGACCACATTTCGATAGGCTTCAACCGAGCTCGAGGTATATTTGGAGTTTGTGCTCGACCCAAAACCCGGTCTCAATTAGTCTTTTTCGGTCGCGCACGATTATGACGCCTAACTGTGGCTTTTGTTGAATTGTAATCGTGTTTCGCATCGAGGACGCTCTTTTTGATCTTCTTTTGTTCTTTCATTTTCATTGGTCGTTCCGACACGACAAAATAAAAGTTGTATTAAGACTTGTCTCTGGATTCCAGGATTCCAGTGAACTAAACACTAATTTGTGCACTCCTCTAGCCTATAGTTTGGCCTGAGAATGACTGATATTGGGCTCGACTTCAAAAGTTGAAACAGAAAGTGAGCATCTCGACCCGGGTAATCATAAGTTTTTATTTTTTAGTCTGAACCAATGGGTGATTGACCTCTATGCGGTAAGCAGTCTCTCCTGCAAACTAGTCAAGTGGGTCAACTTCGCCACGACATTCTCCACCCAATTCACACTTGTCGCATTCACTTTCGACAGAGTACTCGCTCTCACTGTTCCTATGACATACCGCATACTCAAAAACAACCTCAGGTAATGAAAATTCACTCTTGTCGCATTCACTCTTGTCGCATTCACACTTGTCGCATTCGCCTTCGACAGAGTAATCGCTCTCACTTGTCCTATGACAAACCGCATACTCAAAAGCAACCTCAGGTACTAATTATATTACAATTTATCAAATGATTTGGCTCTTTTCCAATACCCCACTCGTAAGGATGTGAATTCTTATAAGATGAGCAAAATAACTATTGTGAATACACTTTTCTTCATACCTTACATTGTTTATCACGAATTCGGCCATGATAACAGGTAAAACCACTAAGAAAATCGAAATTAAGAAAAATAGAGGCGGAAAATGGCCAGTGATGTAACAAGACTGCTCGTAGTCAGTGCAAAGCCCCGAATGTTCCGGCTGTCCTATAGTTCATATCGAATAGTTTTTGAGAAAAGAAAACATTAAAATCTATACATTTTGGACAATATCAAAGTGTAAAATTTTGAGCCGTACGAAATTAATACGACCAATTAGCTTGCCTCAATTCAATTTCGAACGATTTTGAAGAAAAGAATTCGCGTTACGCTCTCAGCATTATGAATAAACTCTTTAAAGCGCGTATAATTTAGTCCAGTAAATGGAAAATTTGGCAATTTTCAAACCCCCAGAATTTTTGAAAAAATAATCGGAGGCAAAATATATTTTTACATTTGAACTCACGAAGTCGATATCTTTAATCGGGTAAAAAGACTTCTGTTGAAAATAATTAATTCAATCGGTGAAAATTGACTGAATAAAAACAGGACTGTTTGTATCAGGGCGAAGCCCTGAATGTTCCGACTGCCTTTTAAGGTCTATGGAAAAGTCATAACAAGAAAAAATTAAATTAAGTCAAATAAAATGAAAATAAAAAAAAATTAAAAGTTTTTGTGAAAACATCCCCCCACTTATCATATCAAGTACAAAATGGTAGATTTTGCTCCTATTAACAAACAATTTATGGCATATATTTTCCTTGAACCAATTTGGAAAACTTTCTAAGACGGAGTAAATCTCGCTTACGCGTTGATAGCGCGAAATTGGTCAAAATGGCCAAAATGGCTACCTTCAAACCTTCATTACTCTAAAAAAAATGAATACACACAAAAAATCTTTTCAAATTTAAGCTTAGGACAACAATGGTTTTCGAACGATATATAAAAAAAATCCGTCAAAAACGGCTTGTTAAAAAGTCGAAATTTGTCTGAAGAAAAAAAAACCACACCGAGAATAAATATTCCGTTTTCTTCGAAAGTTGGAACAATAAAACAAGTCTTTTAGAGTTCAATTCTATTTTTTTTCATATTTGGTTTCTCACAATTACACATCAAAGTTAAACAGCCTTTAGTAACTATCAAAAATCAAATAAATGTCGCTTTTTAATACAAAATGCAAGCGCGGAACTCTTGTATTAAAACGAGAAACTTCGAACCAACTCTGGCATTTGATTGTTAATCATCATTGACATCACCCAACGGTCAAATCATGGGTCAAACAGGGTTTCTTCGTGATCATTTTGATTTAAATAACTCTAAAAAAAGTTGAATCGTTTCATTACGAGGCCAAACTGTGCTCTGGACAGGCGCAAAATTTTGTGTCTGTATGTTCCTGACTTCCAGAGACAAGTCTATAAACATGTTTTAATTTTTTTTCGGAGAAAACCAAAGAACAAAGAAGCACAAAGGGAGCGTCCTTGTTGTGGAATCCGCTTACAATTCATAATATGTACATTTTGGCCTCTTAAGGTTCAACAAAAATCGAATCTTTTTAAACACCCCATAATAAAAGGGAAAAGTTGCAACTAGGCACAAAATCCTCATTGATTTTAGTTATTTATAATATTGGCGACTCTTTTCTAGGTACTTACAGGGGAGATTTAAAGTGATCCGGTTTTTTAATTTAACAAAAAGTTCTCTCAAGGTTCTGAAACTTTTGTTATAGAATAAATCGCAAGATACTCAAAAAACAAATTCCGGCAATTTCGATTATTTCAAACTAAACAATGATACTTTTTAATCAAAGTTTTCTAAAGTTGAAGCTAAGTTTTCTTTCTATTGAATTTTGTTTTTCATGATTCAACATTTTCACATAATAATTAGACATTTCTAGATTGTGTATATAAGTATTATAAAGGAAAACTTCAGTGATAACAATTTTCCCCAAAGTTTCAAATACTGTATTTTTCCCAAATGTTTCGTTTTAGATATCCAGTGATAGTGAGTGGGGCTGTATGGGTTTGTATGTACGGGGCCACAGCTGGAAACATCTACGTGTATGACCTCATAGATGGATCATGTGTTCACGGGGACTATCTCACTCAGTATGGACCAAATTGTGAAATTGTATAATTAGCAATATCGCCTGCAGGACGGATCTAATATTTTTTCAAAAAAAATTAAATATTTTCAGTTTATCAAAAAATAAATGTAACATTTTAAAACTTTCAAAATTTCGATGATTTTTTCAGCTGACCAAATTGATTTTTCCGCGATTTCTTACAACACCATAGAGACCGTATTTTGACAAAAATTTTCTACGCCCACAACGCGAATTTTTGCATTACTAACCTTAATGAATTGCTTAAACCGAAGACATAAGAAAGCTTATTAACCATAAAAAAAGTTGTTTAAAGTGAACCCTAATAAAATGAAGTCACTTAACAAACAAATGTGATAACATGGAAACTTTTTACAAAAAAATCGCTTGAGAAATCGCCATAAAACTAAAAACTCGGGTAGTTGAAGCCATTAATCATCAGCATGAAATAAATCACTTAAACTCGAAGTGCTCAGAACCAGGGGCGGATCTAGAATTTTATTGAGGCGGACGGCTTTTCGAAAAAATTTTCAATCTTCTTAAGTCGACCAAATTTTTTTCGAGCGCGCTCCCAGAAAAATTAAAGAAAGAATTTTTTTCTTCTAAATCGTTTTTGTATACGACATCGTCAAAGATTATAAAGAAACCAATTGAATGAGGAGTTGATAGACAAGAAGACGGGTAATAATCCACTGAGAGTCTACCCTTGAAAGTAATGGTTTTAAATAGTTCTAAATTTTAAACAAATTTATAGTAAATTCTTATAAACAAACATTGTTTTTGTTTTATGATTACGTAAAAATAGCAAAGTGTCAAGTTCAGCCTAAAACTGCACTACCTAATCGTCTCGCCATGATTTTAGGCTTATGTTAACAAGGAAAGAAAACAATTTTTTGTTGTTGAAAAATTCGAATTCTGAATCAAATTGAAAATTCAGCTGAAAAAAATTTCAACTTAAAAGCTCACTATTTTCAGGCCACAACGCAGACACAATACGACTTATGCAGTGGCAATATAAACCCAACCAAAAAAATAGTAGAAAAAACCACACTGTAAAGACTCTATTTTGACAAACAAATTTGCGAAATTTTTGAAAAAGACTGGCAAATTTTGAAAAAAAAAGTTCAAAAAAGCTTTGTTTGGGCCTTTTTGGAAAATTTTGACCAAAAAACTTGCTGTTTTTTGGCGCGCGCTCCCCTTCAAATTTATTATATTTTGGCGCCTAAGGCACTTTTAAGAAATTTTAGGGTTGGTTGCTAAAATGGATGTCATAAAATAATACCACGGGAGACCCTTTGGTTAGTGGCAGGCCGAACCCCTGAAGGGGAGCATAAGCCCCCCCACACCTTCCCCTTTAATCCGCCCCTGCTCAGAACAATGACGAAATAAGGGAGTAGTTGAGCGGGTGTCGATAATTAGAATTTTTCGCGCTACAACTGATAACGGATCCACCTTTGGCACTTTTTTACGGCCTAAACTTTTTTTTCGACCAATCCTACACTTTTTTTAGCGGCGTAAATGGCAAAAGTTATTATCAGTTCTAGGGATGAAAACGGCATTATTGACGCATATCTGTAAAATTTTGTTCAGGTTGCTGAAAGTTTGGTCATAATACGGTCTTCTTCAATGTGTCAGCAGAGGTGGGAATTTCAATTTGGTTGACCTTAAGAAACGCCAATTAACTTTTGATTATTTTGCAAAACCAAGTGGCGGATATTCATTCCCGACTTTTCAAATCAAGTTAATAATGAATGCGCTCTTTGAGTTTGTGGTTTTTGATCAAACTCGAACAATGGATATTTTGATGAGCATCGAAAGAGGATGAAAAAGTTGAAAAGCTCATTTTGGAATTAACTAGATGGTGTAAAACACTAGAAAAATAAAATACGGCTACAATAAAGTTTTGTTAAATGTTTCTCTATTTTAAATTCGAAACATGTTGTATTCCTAGTAGGTCATTAAGCGCTTTCATGAAAAATTGTTCGTCAAATTGTTCAAAAAACATAATTGGAGTAGTAAAATGCCAGCCTTAAATCGAAACCAAAAAAAAAAACTGTAACAAATTAAGATCAAGCACCGATTTAGGAATTTCGATTTCAAGATTTGAGGGGTGCGATTTTCAAAAAATATATATATTCGAAAGCAGGATTTGAGTTTTATTGGCTCTTTTATGATGACATTGACAAAAAATGCGTTTTTTTGACGTGCGTTACCCCCTGAAAACTAATATAGGTGCTTTTAGAAGCTTTTGAGGGTCGATCGGCCGAAGCTTAAAGTCTTTGAGTAAGATCAAAAAATGAGACCCTTCTTGTAAAGTCAGTTATAGAGTTTAACTACGAAAAAGATTCGTTCACCCACCCTCCTCCAATTCGGACACTGGTTAAAACAGAGTTTGTTCATCATTTCACAATAATCTAACCCTAACTTTACTTAGACTGGGCGATCAGATCTATTTCCACTATGCTCTCACAGTCTTGTATTGTGGACTTCCTTCTGCACTTCTGTTTGTCTTCAACATCATCATACTCTACAAACTCAAGTAAGTGTTCAAACTGGTTACGAAGCAGTATTTAGACAACCGCGTATTCAAACACTGTATTAACCAATCATAATCGAGACAAAGGAAGATATGAAAATCATTTCTTCCTTGTCTCGATTCTGATTGGTTAAAACAGTGTCTGAATACGCGGTTGTCTAAATACAGACCGCACTTCGTTCAAACTGTATGGACATGGTGTGGGCATTGTATGGGCATTGTAGGGGCATTGTATGGAAATTTTATGGGCATTGTATTAATCATGAATGAACAGCGAATGGTCATTGAATGTACACTGTTTTAAGCATGAATGGACATTGTATGGACCTCTTCCTTCAATTCTGGCTTTCAAATTTTTTCGAAGGGTTCCCCCTTTGTTTTTATTTTACAATAGACATTTATGGCCAATCAACCCGGAAATTATTCTAAATTTGAGCGACCGATGAGCGCCGCCAAACATGATCATTCTATGTTTTCCGCAAAGCTCCAATCATTCAATATGGTTCAATTAAAAACAGTCATCAAACTGTTTCAACAAAACAGCAAGCTTATCTCCCTAAAAAGCTTCGCTACAACACTGCCTGAGGCAATTTTTGCATTTTAGAGAGAAACACTGAAGTAAAAAAAATGGCCACAGTAAGGCAGAGCGCGTTTAATCTAGTGTACAATGATCAGAAAAAATTAGCCATGACCCAACATGGCTGATTATTCAAGCTAGCTTTTCGTGGGTTGTTGATCTCAAGATAGTAGCATGAATGATGAGTTATGTAATTAATTAGCTGCAATCTGGACTTTACAAACTTTTTCAGAAGTTATCGACAACGCTAATTAATGCTTATGGTGTTGTTTTTTGAACAGAGGATAAACGTTTGGTTCCTTTAGTCTTTCAGGCAAGAAAAAAACCAAATGTAAGAATAACTTAGAAAAAGTTTGTCTTTGCACTTGCTTGCCATGGCTAAATCGAAATAAACTTCCTTAGAACGTAGTTTGAACTTGCGGTATTCGTAATTTGGAAAGTATACTTGATCAAAATGAGGTAATTCATTATCCGAAAAATTGTTGTTATGTTGCAGTTCACTACATGATACTTTTAAAAGTAACACCGATAATTATTCGATCAAATAGTTGCATTTTACGAATGTTGAATGAGTATTTTATGGAACTCGTTTTTTCTAAAATCATTTTTGTTTCCCGAAGTCTTTCCATAACCATTTTTTCTATGAACCCGAACTTAGTTGGAAAACAAAAACAAAAAAATATTTTGAGACTTTTTTGAGTACGCTCCTTTATCAAACTTAATATGAAATAGATTTCACAATCTGGTTTGGTAGCAACAGAGGCGGATCTAGGATTTTCTAGTGGGGTGGATTCTCAAAAAAATTTAGAAAAAGTTTGCCATCCTTTTTTAATTTTAGGTCACTGTTTTAGTCAATTTTTGAAAAGTTTTTACCAAAAATTGGGTATTTTTGCCGGGCTCTCCCCCTCAAACTCATTATACGCAAGCGCCGAAGGCGCCTTCAGAAACGTCTTAGGGTTGGTGAGTCAAAATTAGATGCCTTAAAATAATACCAGAGGGGTGGGCCTTTGGGTCGACAGGGGTTGAAATCCCTGAGAGAAAGAGGCGCCCCCCCTTAAAAACACTGCTGAGTAGCAGTAATCCTTCAAAAACAAGTCAGAGAGAGAAAAACTTAATTTAAACGCAATAATTTTGTGAATATCATTTCTCACTTCTTGCAGAAATTGAAATTGGCAACTGGTCGCTTTCTAAGTATTGTTTTTTAGGACGAACGCAAGCACAATGAAAAAATCCAGTCGTCAATCAGCTATCACAAAAGTCCTTCTCCTGGTCTCTTGGGCTTTTTTATTCTTCACAGCTTGTTCGGCAATTCCAATCTACCTGGTTTTGTTCTACTTGAACCCTATGTTGGATCCTAACACGCCTGATGATATAGAACACGAGATATCTAACAACATCTTGTTGGGTATGAATTACTCTGGCTCGTTTCCAGAATTAACCTTGATTTCTGATCCGAAAGTGAAATTCCTGCTGGCAACTCAAAAAGATATTTGTTTCTTTCAAAACCAAAATAAATTTTTAAACAAGATCCTTGAAATCTGTTGGTTTATGCACACTGAAATTCTTACTTTGATTTTAAAAATAACAAAAATTTTTTCAAATAGCCAGCGGGAATTTCATTTACTTATTTTATTATTAATTTCATACCCTTACAGTTATTTAGGACCAAAGAATTTACAAAGCGAGGCCGAAGGAGCACCCATACTACCCCCCCCCCCTCACCCCCTTTTCAGTGATTTGACCCGCTCGCAGCCCAAATTACTTGCTTTGCTAATTTACCCCGATCACAACCTTCCCTTTGCTTTTATTTCATGACACCCATTACGGCCATCCAACATCAAATTATCTTCTAATGCACCAACATTTACAATTTTAAACGGCAAGCGCATACCAAACAACGTGTCGAAAAATCTTTAGTGGGGGGCTAAGAAATTTGCAGCAAAATAGGTTCTATTTAGCTTTTGGGCAACCTCGGATGTTGAATTTGGTCGACCTCAACGAATACTTAACTGAAAATTTTTTCAAACTCAGTTAATTGGTCAATTTGTTTGCTCATTCCAAGTAAAAGCATGCGTAAAAATTGAGCGGAACACATTTGAAAAAATCTAACAAAACAACTGGTGATTAATAAATGAAAAAAATCCCCCCTCCCCCACTCAGGGATTCGACCCCCTGCCGACCCAAAGGGTCCCCTCTTTGATACTTTTTCAGATATCCATTTTTGGCCGACCGACCCTAAAATTTTTCTAAAGGCGCCTTTGGCGCCAATATATACTAACTTTGAGGGGGGGGGGGGGGGGGGGGGGGAGCGCGCCAAAAAAACGCGATTTTTTGTCAAATTTTTTCAAAAAGTGCCCAAAAACGGCTTTTTTGACTGTTTTTTCAAAAATTTGCGTGCGGCGCAGAAAATTTAGCCAAAATAGGGGGAAAACAGTGCTTTGCGAGAGCTCGAAAAATCAATTTGGTCGACCTAAAAAAAAAGGTCGTCAAAATTTTCGAATTTTTTTTGAAAGTCCGCCCCCCCCCCCCTCGAGAAAATCCTAGATCCGCCCCTGGAAAAAAACAAAGATAAAAATCGCAACATTTGACTTTAAATAATTCAGAAACATTGACAAAAGGGCGTTTTTCTTCAGACAAAAAAAAATGAATTTCATTTAATTTTTGATTTTTTTCAGCCGTGGAGCTACCTGCAGTTGGGAACGTGGCTTTCAACTGTGTTTTTTACGTCCTCGGCAGCAAAATATTCAGAGACGAATTCGTAGCCATGTTTCGCAAACGTTTCTGCTGTCGCAAAGTTCACCCGAATAATGGAGCGGCAGCAAGTCAGACCCAAACACAGCCGAAAAAAAATTGATCATCAAAGAACAATCAAAGAAGCAGAGAGGAAACAAAACCTGAAGAAACCTCTGCATCCCATGTTTTTATGTTTTTCCCACACACCCAATGATTATTCTTCGGTGAAATTAAAGTTAAATCTCAGCTAATAAGCACTCAGAAAAGCAAAATATCGCTAAATGGACCATAATTATATCTCTTTTTTTTCACCAAATTACCGCGAAAAGTCCCCCCTAGTGTGTATCATAGTTCCCAAATTTTTATTTTTTTCCTTATTTCTCTTATAATACTATAATTTGCAATTTTTCAATAATTTTCTGAAAAACAACTTGAGTTGAACAAAATAATTTTTTAAATTTGTGTTTGTAACATGACTTACAGTACTTTGCACTAAGAGAAAATTCGACCCTGTTTTTGCAAGCTAGTATTTTAACAGATCGGTTTTTAAGCAGACCAAACTTTTAGCCGATACAAACCAATCAACAAGCTAGAATCCCAACTTCCAAGGCAGTGTTGGCAAGTACAGGCCGGTTGCTCGGCTTCGCTCGGCTGCTCATGTTTATTACATGGATTTACTCAGTTAAATACCAGTTTTTTCAACATTTTTTTTTCGTTAACAGATTTCCAAAAATATGATGCACTCTGTTTATTAAGTTGATTCAAACACCCAATAAGATTTTATAAAAATGCAAATCATGCAATGAAAAAACCTTCTTTCGATATGATTTTTGAACTAAAGTAGTAAGTTTGAACAAATTTTAGCCAAAATTAAAAAAAAATGTTTTCTGCAGAGTTTGAAAAAAATTTCTGCAACGCTACACGCCAATGAGCCAAACGATATGGGTTTGTCATAGTCATAAATGTGACGATATCCTGATAACTGTTTTCTCAATGTCAAAACATTTTTTTATATTCATGCTAAGGTTGCAACGTGCGAACTTGTTTTTAAGTTACTGTATAAATAATCTCATAAATTCAAAATTTTTTTCCTTAAAATGAATGATTTTAAAAATTTCAATATTTTTTCGAAATTTAAAAATGACGTAAGAGTTTGTCTTCCGGTATGTTTGAATTTTTTTCTCGTCAAAATCAAGTACTTTCTCGCCAAAACCAAAACATTATCGGAATCGATTGAGTTATATATCATAATCAAACCGTGTCCGTTTTTTTCGCAACATATTAGAAAGTTTCCGAAAAAATAACCGTTTTAAAAAACCGATTCAAATTATTAGAAATTCGGTCTAAAATTGAGCGATTAAAGCTAGTCAGTAGGTTATACAATGAATATCATTTAGTATTATCACCAATCTTGTTAAGCGTTGAACACCCAGTTTTTCTCATTTAAAACCAACAGTAAGATTTTTCCAGCGCTTTTCAAAAAAATTACTTGAACAAAAAATTTTCTTTGAAGACTTTTTTGGAAAACTTTTTGAGTTTCTTTGACTTAAAAAAAATTAATAGCACTAATTTTCGAAAAGAATTGTTGTCGACTTTAGTCAACTACTAATGCTAATGTTTTTGCTATTTTTATGGGCTGTCGTAGAGATTTTATTATCTTAGCACGAAAAAAAACTAAAAGCGGTTATTTTATAATTCTTTTTATTGCGGCCAGAGTTGTCTGAAATATTTGTCATGTTTTCGATGTCCAACACCAAACTCAATTCTTTTTCAGTACAAAACAATTAAAGTCAGTAGCGAAAAATAACAATGCTTTTAAAAGTATTTCGAAGTTTTAGATAATTAAACTGACAGTCAGCTGAAACTTAGAGATCACATAGATATTGTGTGCAATTCAAAGAAATAGTTTGTAAAGGCAGGGGAAAATTTTCAAAAAAACTGTTTTCAGGGTTCTGTTTGGTTTATGTACTGTCTGTAATTTCCCATGGTTTTCTTGTCTATGATAGCCCAAGTAAAAACAAATCTGGAAAAAAAATTACAACTTCCGGAAAAAAGTCTAGAAAAAAAGAAACTTCGAAATATTTTGAGCTCAGATTCGAATTAGCTTAGGAAATCAATTTTCTCACGTAGTCAAATAAACCATGCTTTGACAATTTTTTTTGTAACAACTTAATGTCATTGTATTATCTTTTTTTATTTAAGAAAATGTTCCGGCTACTATGTGTAATCCAAAGATGTTTTGATGTCTCCAAAAATATCAGTGATTACAGATGATCTTTTATTAACCTACTTCGTATTTCTATACGTGTCTTTGTTGTACCGAATGAAGACTTCAGTAACTAGCATTTTTTATTCTGCCTAATTTTCAACCTAAATTCTGCCCAAAAACTTTGTCCAAATAATCAATTAACGCTATCTTTTACTAAGTTCTTTTTTTTCTGCTAATTTTTGGGCAAAAGTTTTCTAATTCATGGCTAATTCAGTTTTCATCAACCGATCCGTGCATACAAACAAGTTTTTATATCAAGTAAAATTGTTCCTCATAGTTTATGCCCAGAAAAAGTTAGTTCTGTTTTACGAACTATTCTGGGCTCTTTTTACCAAGTTATTTTAAGCATTTCTGCTCACAGTGTTCGACTGTTACAAAAATTACCGTGCGCACTACTTGGGCTATGACAAAATTATTTGGTAACCTTAAAAAAAACCTCGTTACACCATAAGGTTAATAAAGACTACGAAAACAAGTCATTTAACCAGTATTTTGCATTTCATTCGAACATCTTTCCAAAAGGAGATGAGAAATAAACCCCTTTGAACAGAGAACAAAAGGTTATCGACTGCGCTTATCCGAACAAAATTTCTATCTTCTTTAGAATACGTGTAAGGGTAATGATGTGTTAGTTAAAAAATTACTAGACTGTTTCACAGTTTCACTGTCTGAATACTTGAGCGATGCCCTTAGGTTTAGTGTTGGCAATTGAAATAGTTTTTAAATGTCACCAGATGCGTGAAAAAAAAGATTCACCTTAAAAATGATAAACTGAGAAACAATTTTTTTGTACTTTGTTGTTAATAGACAAACAGCTTAAGAAAATCTGAAGGACGATAACCGAAACATTTTATAGAAACTTAGAACGATTTTATTATTAAACTTCATATGTTTTTTCTAGTGTGCTGCATAAAATTTTCCTTTTTTGTCTCTGGTTTTTTACTTTTTGGTTTGAATCACTACCTTTGCGTGGTGTGTTCAAAACTGGTGATCATCAAACGCAGTCAAACTATTCGAAATAAACTTCAAATATTATGACCAGAAACTTTACCTTAAAATTAGTTTTGAAGTTTCGCAATCTATATCAGAAAGTACTCTATTTTGAGTTTGTTATAAGTTTGTCTATGAAAAGCATTTTTGCATATATGAAAATTGTATGATAGGTGTTTTTCCATAAACGAAAAAAAATGACTTTTTTTGTAAATTTAATTTCTGGAAAATTTTGGGTTGTTTTTGTAACCAAACACAAAGAAAAAGACCTTGTTTTACTCAAAGCAGCAACGTTTGTACGGTGTCGCATTTACTATGCATAGAAAACGAATTGAAATGTCTTAGAGTTGTCTTTCACAACTGATACAGAGAAAATACCAAACTTTTAAATTTTGGCAATTTTCGGTATATGGAGGTTAACCGGGGTAACAATGATCTTTTGGTCTTATATAAATAATAAAAAACTATGCATTTTTTTAAACGTGCTTTTCCCAAGGGTGCATATTTCTTTAGCTAATATCTGGTCATAAACGAAAAGCTCGTTTTATTTTATTTGAAGTTTTAATCCCAGGTCAGGTTCTGGTTTTAAGACCGAAATTCGCTTTTTCCAGATTTTGCAAACCAAGTTATTGTCTATTCGACCGGTGCGACTGAAAGAAAAGTATACCGTGACGAATGCGACTGAAGGAAAGTAGCCATCAACCGGCGCAAACAAAAAAATAATCCCAAGAAAAACAAGCGCGAAAAAAGCTCTTTCTTTTTCCCACACCTTTCAGTTTCAATTTTGAAAATCTACGTTAATGTTGTCATAATGCAATGAAATTTGGCATGGCGAGTGAATTAACAATTTTGAAATTTTTAAAATTATTTTATCGTCGTAACATTGCGCGTTTAGCAAAAATCATTAATAAGATAACTAAAAAAATTGAAATTTTGAAAGGCGGGATAAAATGGAAAAGAGCAAGCAAAAATGTCCAACTCCAATGACAAGTCTCAAAATGAAAACGATTTTCTAAGTAATGCACATACTAATCGGATATCATGTTGAAATGACATTGAAAATCTGTCAAATCAAGCCTCTTTATGTGTGTGGATACGGCTCCGCGCAATTCTTCTTGTGTCAGCGGCTCAAATCTCATCCTGAAAACTTACGATCACAAAACCCGGGTGTCAAAAATTTCCAATAGAGAAGCATTCAGCCGACCCAAGGTATTTCCTTTACAAAGTTCAACGAGGTTGTAGTGTTTCTACTTCGGACAAAATAATTTCAAAGTCAAAGTTCTGAAAGAAAGCGAAACATTTCAGGCAAGTTTAAATGTGTGTATTCATCCACCCACACTGACAAATTTGAGTTTGACATCGATTCAAATAGGTTTTTCTACAGATAATATACTGTACGAAAATCGATTTACGGTCGCCCATTTAGACATGAAATTGATTTAGAATGGCCGAAATGATGTTTACGCCAAAAAAAGTTCTTTTTCTAGATAATCGATTTTGATTAGTTTACATAGATTTTTGCAAAGCAGTGAAATCCATCAAAATTTCATTTAAATTGAATTAATGTTAGTATTTTTTTGTTTCGAAACTTGAGCAGTCTATTTTACTCAATCGGAGCTTGAGCAGTTTTTTTACTCTATCGGAGCTATAGAGTCATTTTTCACTCCATTAAGTTTTCCATCGGAGCTGTAGCGAGCAAGAGCCACTCGAGGAGAGTTTTATACTGCAAATTAATGTGATGCAGAGAATTCTTTTTTGTTTTTCGCAAATCTAAATGGCTTTTGCGGTATGAAAATTAAAATTATTCAAATAACTCATTGAAGAGTTGGCTAGCATGTGATGTTACCATGTAAAGTATGAACAACAAATTCGTCCACAAATGTTAGTGTGTTCCTTGCATTCTGAAAATGTTGAAGTAGTTTTTCACAATTGAAAATCAAAGGTGGGCGGAATTAGTGGAAAGGAGCCAAAGGATTTTGGTGGGTTGGAGTTTTCGGCCATTCGATTGGTCCCTTTCTCACGAGAACAGCCCGAGTCGTGAAATACAGTACACATTTTTCGAATATTTTCCTGCGAAAAAAATAATAGTTAATAATGGTCTTAATATCATATTGACCAATGAGACCCGAGTGCAGCAGATTTTCAATTTGATAGATTCAGTACTGAGTAATACATTTATTATATCCAGTTAAAAGCACAATTATTTGCATATTTATATACCAACTATATATCTTCTTTTGAAATATTTACAGCTAGATCTCCATAGTTTAGTAGTCGAGTTGTACTTTTAATTTCAACTTTTTTTCCAAGTTCGAGTCCAACTTTGCGTTTTTTTAATTAAACGGCTCAAGTTTGAAAAAAAAAACTGGTATGAAAAGTGAAGTGAAATCAACTAAATTGCCAATTTTGTTATAATCTAGCTTAAAATTTTTTTTACGTTTCAATTACCCTTATTCAAGTACCGTTTAAGTAAATAAACCCATCATTTTTTTCCGTTTGCTTAAATGAGCCAGGCGAAAAGCATCACAGCAGTCGCCGAGATCGACAATCGGCCAATTGGTGCTCCGACCGAGATCAACCACCGGCCGCCTGCCATTTCAGTTTTGTACACTGTTCGTCCGTTGAGTGGCTGAATTATCCTGTAGGTGCTCCTAGCCAGCCTATCGTGCGAGTTCTTGACTGCCAGGAACTTATCATACTGAAACAAAAACCCAATGAATTCAGAACTTCAATTTGAAAGAGAAAATCACTCTCATTTGATAAAATGGTCAATAAGGCAGAACACATTCTATCCACCGTACAATAATGAACAAAACAAAAAAATTACCTGAAGATGGTGACAATTACGGTACAGAGTTAGACTAATTATTTAGCTGTAGCCTTAATCTTATAACCTTTCCAAAATATCGAAAGTTGGCAACTCCCTGGAGTTACCAAACAATTCCAAAAAAAATCTTGTTCAGTTGTTTTTCGAACAGAGGATAGGAAGTTGTGTCTTTTAGTTTTTCAGTCAGGAAACTGAACCAATTGCAAGCTTTAAAAAAAGTTTGTCTTTGTACTTGCTTGTCATGGTTAAAATGAAATAAAAGTGCTTCGTACATGCTTTGAATTTGAAGTATTCGTAATTTGGAAAGTATATTTGATCAAAAAAAACTAATCTAGTATTTACAAATTTATGAAAGTATATTAGAGTATAGTATCCTACTCTGGGACGTATAGTAAGCAATTTGTGCTTCGTTTTTAAAAGCTGTAAAAAGCGGTTTTAACAGCCTAAACAATTTGTCTCATTTTCTATGCCAACTAACGGCCGTAGTGAACAACTAAGCTGGTTGAGAAGTAGACTTTTCATATGTGTAACCCTGCTTGTAATTGGCAAGGAGCTCTTAAGTTCAGCTACGGTTCTCATTGCTGCTGCCATTTTGCCTAGAACCTTTTGAAGTTTTAGCTCTTTTGTGATTATATTGTCAATGATGACACCTAAATATTTAATTCGATTTGTTTCCTTGATTCTAGAGTCTGGAACGTTTTTATGTTTTGTTTTTTTTTGAGTTGCTTTCATTCAAGATTTTGCAAAGATGACAAACTCTGTTTTGTATTTGTTCAAAATGAGTTTTGGACTTCTGAAGAACTTTAGAAGTCAATTTAGGTCGACATGGAGGTTTATTTTTGCAATATTTATGCTCAATTTTGAGCAAACAGTCAAATTATCATCAGGGTATTCTACAAATTGCAGTTGATATCTTGATGTTTGCCCAGATCATTAACATAAATTTTGAAAAACAGTGCCTTGGGGTACTTCTTGGTTGATTTCGACTACATCCGAGAAGCAATCGATTACATGGAACTTCTGCGTTCTCTCTGTCCAGATGCTTTGGAGTATGCTTAAGGATTTTTGATTCAAAGCCCGAATTTTCTAAGTTTCTCATCAATAACTTATGTGAAATTGAAGCAAATGCTTTTGGAAGATCAAGGAAAGCAGTTTATGTGTATTAGTTTTAATTTGTCTGTGTATTTTAGAAGCGCAATAAATCTAGAGGAGCGCTGATGGAACTCAAAATGATTTTCAGAAATAAGATGATTTTCGCTTAAATAAAGAACCATCTGTTTTTGTAGTAACCGTTCTGAGACTTTTGAGAAAATTGGAGCTAAAGATATTGGTCTGAAATTTCTAGCTGTGGCGTGTTTACCCTTTTCAAACACTGGTATTAGATGAGCGGTTATCAGTTTTGATGGAAACTATCCGTGGCCAAAACAAATTTTTGGAGTTGATGAAAGAGATGGAACTATAACTCCAGAAGCGTCTTAAAGGGCCCATGCAGATAATGTGGACGGCCACGGTGACTTATTACATTTGATCGATTTGTTTTCATCATTAACTTCTCTTTGAGTAATGAAGCGGAAGTCAAAAATTTTTAGTGTATGTTGCCTGTCAGGCATTAAGCCACTGTTAATTAGCATGGTATATTTCACCATAGTAGTTCCCAGATTAGAAAAATTGTAATTGAAAAAATTTGCTATCAGTTTTTTGTCTGTTATCAAAAGGCCAAATGAATTGTTAAGAAAATCAACAGTTAATAACTTGTTAATAACTTTCATATATCACGATAGTTTTGAGGTGAATTACAAAGTGATTGACATGCTTGTTCTCGAAATGTTTTTAATTCATCGTAATATTTTTTGTTTCAATAAAATTTGCTTTTGCTTAAGCTGTTTTTATCAAATCTCAGACTTTTTATAGCTAAACTTTTTCATGGAGTAAAAATTGTAATGATACAGTAGTTTTTGCAATTTTTAAATATATAATCTGACGATTTCCTGAAAAACAGAGTTTTCATAGGCGCACACATGCTTGATACTGATAAAATACTATTTTGATTTGTTTAAGCTGTTCGTTTTAGAGTTGTAGATTTGTATTCCATTTTGTTCTTTTGAGAAGCGCTTCAAACTGATTTTTTTTGTATTTTTTTGTCATGTGTTTGTTTTTTCAATACGTTTGTTTCATTACTTTTTGATGAAAAAACCTATTAGTGCAAAAATGATATGAGGAGATGTTACATCACCTACTTCCACCTCTATGATATCTAAGTCACTGATCATATGATCTATGAGGGTTTCTGATTTTTTAACGGTACCTATTATAGTAGTCGGAGCCCATTTGTTATCTATTTGATTTGGCGCATAATAAAAAATTTTGATCATCCAAAATTTGAGTCATTCAAAGGTTGATTTTAGTTAGTATGGACGATTTTTGTTCAAAAAATGACAGTTTTTAAACATCTCTAAATGACATACACAGATAGGCACATAAGAACCCTTTCTAACCAAAGTATCAAGTCATAGTATCAAAGTCATAGTATCAAAGTAATAGATCAAGTCTTCTTTTTATCTCCTGTTTTTTGAAATTGATGAGAAAGCGTGTGTGCTTCGAGTCAGATGTTCCATGAGAAGAGACTTCGGAGGTTTGGTTAGGCTTGGTACCTTTTGCGCACGATGTAGAGGAAAAAAATTATTGGCATTTCTATATGTTTAAACAGTTACCCTTTTCTAGGTGGTGCGTTAACGCTACTATGTACCATTGGGGAATGATACCCTTTGAAAGGATCCGGGATTTTTATCATCTGAAATTTCAATTCGAGATCATTATATATCAATAAATTTTCAAAAACTAAGTTGAACTTGCTCATACCTGGTCGCGGCTGAGATAGATGGGTTGTTCGAAGACATACCAGTTGACAACTTCATAGCAGGGGGGATTGGTGAGTGACCCGTCATAGTGGAACACTCTCTGGATCACATCTGGCTGGTATATCGGAATCAGGTCCGAAATGGACAGGCTGTCATTGAAATACTCGGTAGCACCCTCTGAAAATAAATCTGGAGCAATCGCCGGTGTTTCTGGCAAAATTATGAAAACGCTAGTTTTTCAGGAACAATTATGCCGAAGGCGGTTTAAAAAATTAAAAATGCATGCTAAGTTTGTTGAAACCTTGCAGAAGGTTTTTTAGAATTGTTTTTTTTTTATGCTTTGTTTGCAGCTCTCTCTTGTATCGTTTATGAAAAGTTATGTGGCAACATTTAATAGTTTCGAAATGAATCTGATCTTACAACTTTGATTTGGCCGTGTAATTTTTTTTTCAAATTGCATTTGAAGCAGTCAAAAGAGTAATCCAAAATAAAAAGAGCAATGCAATTTTTTGTATTAATTAAATTCAAGGTTAAAACTTCAAAACGAATCCTTTCAAAAACGGTTCAAATTAAGTCTGATTCATTAAATCTCATTCACAACAAAAAAGCATAAAAATGCAAAAAATATTTTTTTGGTCAAATTTTTTTATAAGTGCTCAAAACGTCGTTTTTAGCCTGTTCTTTTTTCAAAATTTTGCTTGCGGCGCAGAAATTTTGTGCAAAATAGAGTCTTTTTGTGCAAAATAAGGTCTTTTTGTGCGAAATAGTATTTTCGGAGATCTCAGAAAATCAAATTGTTGTCGACTTAAAAAAAGATCGACAAAATTTCCAAAATTTTTTTCTCGAAAAACCGCCCCCCCCCCCAGAAAAACTTCTGCGCTTGCCACTGTATCTATTGAACTTGATCAAACTCACCCGTGCTTGAAAGATCAGCAATGGCATCGATGATATGCTTCCACTGACCTCCATGCACAAAATTGCTGCCATCATACGTCTGCAAAAAAATCTTTTTAGTAACAGAATTTTAACTGCGGTAATTACGATATAGCAGCGGCTCAATATGTAAGTTGGAACACGAATCAAACAACCCAACAAGGAAATAAAACTAATTCGAAGTGCCAAAATATCAATTATGCAAAAATGATGAAAAGTTCTGGAATAGAGCAGCTTTGCTGTATAACATTTTCTCAAAAAAAATTGACTTTAGCGACGCAACAAATTTGAAACAAAATCTAACACGACTATATTGGAATTACGTGGAAACGCAGTAGAACGAACTAGTCCCGTGTACTTGGCGCATCCTCTGCCTCTGCCGACAATGCAATCCAGCTGGAAAACTCATTTAAACTGATCAGTGAGGGGTCACACCCGTGGGTCTACCCAGAAGCCTATCCTACTACTACTACTACTAGAATAATAAAAACTAAACCGGGAGGTTGTTCGAGAGTTTTAATCAAAATCGATTGATTTTAATGTTTTCATTGATTCATTTAGTTTCATTTTCGCAATGCTGAGACTCCGTTAGCTAAAACAAAATTCTGAAAAAAATAAATTAATAGCAGATACTAGATATTATAAAACAACTGTCTCTTTGAACGCTAGTTTGAATCTTTCATTCGAAATTCACCGAACTCTTACTCAAATCAAAACGATTATACCCCCAAACAATGATTGTTTTAATCCGCGCTTCTTTTTTGAGAGAGGGGTAAACTATCATAAGAGTCAATTGCGACTTACGTCGATGAAGAACCCGAGAACAGCCAATGAATCTGGTTCAGTTAACTCCGTAGATTTGCTTTTGAACACGAAGTGAACCTGAAACATAAAAAAATTGATTTTTATCTTAAAACAAGAAAAAAGTGAGACTGAAAAAATAGCAAGATATGCTTAAATGTGAACCAAAATAAATCCAAAAAGTTAGATGAAGGTCAACTTATAAGGAGATGGCATTCTCTTATAAGAAATGTACTTATGAACAATTGCTGTAAGCAGGGGCAGACCTAGAATTTTCTCGAAGTGGGGGCGGGGGGGGTTGCGGATTTTCAAAAAACTTTTGAAAAATTTCATTAACTTTTGAACAATAAATAACCTTTCAAACAATAATTTCTCTAAGCATACGCCCGATTTTTCGACGAGATTATAAATTTCAAACATCAACCAAAGGAGCTGATAAATTTTTATTTACCTCACAATTGAAACCCGGTTCAAGGTTATTGAACTATATACGACATTTATGAGTTGACCGTTGTTTTCTGTCTGCTCTGCTGATAAAACAATGCCCGACCTCGACTTTGACGGTCAACCCTTTTCAACTTTTTCCGAATTTTTTTTTCTGAGTTTTGTCGACCTTGCTTTTACGTTTATTATAGATGCTGTCCATAGTCAATGACTAATGTGAACTGTTTCAAAAACATTTATTTTTTAGTTTTCGAATCAGGTAGAGCTTAGTAAGTATTATTACACTAGTTTTTCATTTACCTATTTTCCATTAACTTTTTTGTAATTTTTTTCTCATATTTTAATCTTTTTTATGAGTACTCGATGTCATACTCAGTTTGGTAGAATCAAAATGAAAATATTTTTCTGCTACCATTTATTTCGTTATTCTGTCGCCTTACCTGTACACTAGTTGTATGCTGTATTCGGTAAAAAAAAATCAAAATCAGTCTCTCTTGAAAAAATTTACAAAATTTTTCACCTCGGCGGGGTACCTCATCCCATTGATCGTGTGTTCCGCTCCTGGTGCATTGGCTGTTCCCCAGTGGAAGTGGAACTGCCAGAAGGCATAGTCATCCTTAGGCAGATCTGCCCCAGATATTGTCATAGAAGAGGTTTCATAGGCCGCATCCGTCATTTGCACTAATAAAAAAATATCGTATTATCAACAGGGAGTGCATAGAAAATGTCAGAAAAACGATTTCAAGTTTTTGCTTTCTTTTTTTAATCCTAATGAGTCTTTAAATTCATCAGCAGGGTCTATTATATGATCGCTTCTTCTTTCTCCCTCAAATAGGCAAAGCAAAATACTTGATTCTGGGGCAAAGTTTTTATGCCAAAATAAAATAGGTGTCAAGTTGTTTGACAAAAAAACAAGTTTAATTTGAATTTTTCTTGTTCAAATAGCCTTTTGACAGCTGAGTTGTAGTCGCAAACTGCAACTTGATGACTTTAACGGTCAAAACATCTAGTACTTCAACTTGATGCGGTGTTCATTTGCTCCTTAATTATTCCCATAACATCTCACTTGTATGCCCTTTATTGGTGTAGTAAGCATGCGCTATGTTGTTTCCCAGATCTTCTGCAAAGACGAAACCTTCATCTATATCCCTATCATGCACCTAAAATAAGGTTGAAAAAAAGTTTACCAAAAAGTTTGGGTTTTTTCAGATTTTGCAAAAAAACAATCACAAGCATCTTAAAACGATTATTATCACATCCTCTGAATACCCGTCTGTAAACAATTGATTCGTATCTTTACTTTCATCAGTTTTTAAAAAAATTAACACACAGTTACTTTTTTTTTCTTTATATGATTTGCTGGAAAAAAAACATCTTAAATAGTTAGCTTCTAACATTGTCTGACATTTTGGGTTGAAATGAATACCATATGACCTTTCCCAAATCTGATAACCATTCCTATCTATCAAACTTTTTGTTGCATCACATAAATCAATTAAAACACGATTGCTACAAAAATAACTGATTTAGCACATTAAATTACGACCGCAAGGACAAAAACAATGTAAAACAACTCATCAAAAAAGAAAACAAATCGAAGAAAAGCTTCGACTAAAAAGCACTAAAAAGATCCTGTTTTGGCCAAAATTTCTGCACTGCAAGCAAAATTTTGAAAAAGAACAGGCCAAAAATGTGTTTAAACTTTTTTGTTGAAAAAAAAAAAATTACCAAAAAATCGCGTTTTTTGCGCGCGCTCTCCCCTAAAAATTAATATATATTTTGGAACCAAAGGCGCCTTTACAAAATTAGATGTCTCAAAATAGTACAAAATTGCGACCCTTTGGGTTGGCAGGCGGTCGAATTCTTGATGGGAAGTCCGCCCCCTTCTAAATATACCTCTGTCTCTTATAATACAAGAGATTTGTCATGATTTATGATTAAAAAAAGTGCTGGAGCTAGAAGAATCTTACTTGGAACCCATGAGGGCAGAAATCAAACTAAACTAAGACAAAAGAAATAGAAAATAGGTACGGCGTTCGACGTGACGATGTTGATGGGTGATTGACGCATTCCATCACAGGTCCAGTTATACTTAATGGCATTATCGGAACCGATCCAGGCTGCTTGGTCTGAAAGAAAACGAATATTTTTAGATCGCATTGTACTTAATGAAATTGTTCTGGATTAGAATGTTGTAGCTCATAAAATTCTAGATCAGAATATTCTAGATCAGAGTGTTCTTGATCAGAATATTGAAAAATAAGAATGATTTCTTTTTTTTTCTCCGAAGGTGTGAGTCATTTTTTGGAATGAGGCGCAATATTATCATTTTTTCAAACGTGATTCTGTTATAAAATTTTAAATTTTTTCCAAGTTTTTTTGCTGGGATGAGTTTCAATCAAATGGCATTATGATTCAGGGTTCAAGATAATTTATTTGAATACTAATCTAACTGAAATTCTCAATCCATAGCTAGTGGTTCAAATCACAAAAAAATTTGATGGCCAAACAGTTTTTTCCAAATCAGAGCACTGCTTTTTAGAAAATGTTTAAATTTTTTCTCTAAAGCTTTTTGTGCGCATTTGATTGGAAAAAAAACGATACCTGACTTGTTCAACTCACCCAAAAACTTTTTTTTCGATATAATTCGAGTAAAAATTACATCAATCTAAAAAGAAAAATTTACAAATTTATTTTTCAAGAAATTTAGCTGACTTATGAAATCTATGTGATCTATTTAAACTTGAACGTAAATTTTTTTTGAGGGCTGGTCTTGTTGAAACAAATTTTTAAAAGTTTTTCAAGCTTAGCCCGGATGGTTTTTTGTTTTCAAATTTTTTTTTTCATTTTATTCCTTTTTTTGTCTTATAAAAGTTCCAAATTAGTAAAGAAGAAAACTTACCGGTATATGACCATTTGTGTGCGACCACAAACTTGGTGAAACACAAAACAGCAAAAGCCACTTGAAAACTTCTCATTTTTGCGATCAATTTTTTGACAGCTGAAAACTATATTTGTAATTTATCAAAATGATTCTAGATTTTTTGTTGAACATTAAAGTTCGGTTCATGTAACCACATGAATTTTCAATCCATTAAAACCCAATAAAAATTAGTCTGACGATAGTGGCGTGATTGCTTCAGGTATGAAAAGTTCAATAGCTTCGTGTACTTTCGAGACTTTTTTGCAACAGTAATTTGCAAAAACAATTAAAATGAACTTACTTGGCTTTATTTTTGCTCAGCTGTTGATCAATTCCAAGCTTGCTAATAAATTGATTGTTGGGGCATGTTAAAGAAGAAAGTTTATATGCGACTAGAAAGTTAATTTTAGTTTGATATTAGTGATGAGATTTTTATTACAATCTGGCTAGCTCATGCACAAATATATAACTAACCATAGCTTTTGATCAGCTGTTGCTAATTTTTCATCTGTAATTTTTGCCAAATAACTCAAGGTGTATAATAAACGCAAAGAATTTAAAACGAGAACAAAAATATCAGACTTTTAGACGCTTTCAAAGCAAGGCTAATACACAGAGTAACAGACGTCAGCCAATGCGAAAAGTAAAAAGCTACTCCGATGAGGGTGTGAGCGCTCTGTGGCAAATCACTGATCAGAATTAAGATTTTGCTAGGGCTGAAAATTCAAAATTGTTTCAAAATATTTTTTGGTCGACCAAATCAATTTTCCTAGATTTTCGCAAGCACAAAAAATGCAATTGTTTTTTTTTGCGCCGAATTAAGGTTTTAAGACCCTTTTTGACATGTTTTGACAAAGTATTTTGGCGTGCACTACTCCTGGAATTTAGATAACGATGATTTCAAAGCCGAGATTGAAAACGTTTTATTTTCAGTTTGGCAGTAAGATGTCATTGACAATTACAAGAGCGGCCCTCTGTTAAGTGAAGGAGTCAAGAATTGCACGGCCAAAACTTTATGGCCGAAACCAAAATTCGATGCAAATTATAAACCAATTTTTTTTGCTCAAAGCCGGTTTCTAGGCCTTAGAACTCTCTCTCGTCAAATAGCACAACATTTAGAAAAAAAAGGTAGCATTGAACAGCTTTGTGATTGGAAATACGCTGATTTGAACTCGATTTAAGCAATAAAAGAGTTCATAAGCAGGGTCAATAAATTGGGAAAAATATAGCATCTACTTAGCAATCTCCCGAATCTTATAATAACTACTGAAGAATTGCCGACCCTAATAATAAAAGCTCTAAAATAGCACTAGAGCGTTCTGTTTATAACTAGATGTTTGCTGCTTTCTGATTTGTCGAAAACTCGACTAACTTAAACAACTCAACAATTACTCCAATGCCTTTTTAAAACAGGAGTGATTGGTAACTCAAAACTTTTTTGGCTGCAGTGGAAATCAATTCAAAAGTTTATTTTTGTGGTAAGTAGAAATGTGGATCAACTAAGAATTGCAAAAAAAAGTTCAAAGTGGTAGCAAATATTGCAATTTTGACAACCTCGCAATCTTGACACCTTGAATATTTTTTTTATTACGACACAAATGCTTCGCGATGTATTGCGAGTTTATGAATTTGAACTGTTTCCGTTCTATTGAGGGTTTCCGGGCTGACTTTGATAGACCAAAAAAGCTTGCCAATCATACAATTCCATAAACTAAGTCTATGAAAAAAACTAGTCATACAAATTTCATACTTTTTGCTAAAATGGTGTCATCAATTTTCCAAAGAATTGTTTTCTTGTTTTGGCATAAGAGTCGGATTATCGTATTAAAAAAAAATTTTATGGCTAGCATTTTTTAATGACAACAAAAAAGTTTCCAAGTAATGTTGAAGTTTTTTTTTGCCGCCGCAAATTGAATTTCGTACTTGAACAAATAAATTCCAAAAAAAAAATTGCATGCAAAAACTAATTGTTTTTGTGCATAACGTAGTCCTGGATACTCAAAAATGGGACTTCTTTCCGTTTCTCTGGAGGATTTTTTTTCAAAAAAGTTAAAAACTTTTATTTCTTTTGTATGGCATGTTTATGTATGCCTTGGTCAAGGTCTGGTAATTCAAAAATTCAAATTTTGAAAATAATCATCATTGAAAAATTTAATGAACTAAATTTATTTTTCAAAAAATCATTTTTTGTTATATGGGAAAATGCTAGTCATACATTTTTCTTATATGAAAAATCACTAATCAAAAACCTTTCATGCAAATTTATGTACTTCTGAAATTGCATGAAAAGTGTATGATTAGCTTTTTTCCAATTATGAAAGTTGTATGACTAACATTTGTTGGTCGACCCGGTATTTTTATACAACCAGTCATTCGATACCTTGGAGAGTAATACATTTTAATGTAACTACCAAATTTTTTCGATGAATTCAATAATTGATCTACTCGTTCAAATCATTGAATTTTAAATAGACCGAATCATATCAAAAAGTTGAATTGGTTCAGACACTGGATTAGTTGCCTCAAGTTTCCACTGAAAACCATACAGAGGTTTTACTTCTTATAAAAACTTCCTAATAAATTGCTTATAAAAACGGAAACACAAATAAGTTGAGGCGATAATCGCACTACAGTAATGCGTCTCAAAATTTGCAATTTTTGCTTTTCAAGTGATGAAAATAACGAAGTTTTTTTCAAGTTTTTGTCATTTTCTCGGTAAATATTCAAGATTCATGGCTGAAAAGATGTTGAATTTTGATGCTGAATGAAATTTGAGCGATTTAGCCGTGTTCAATTAGAAAATTAACCAATATCTACAGTGAGATCTAAAGTTTATCTACCAAATTGGAACAAAAAAGGTAACTTCGGCCATCATTTGTAGATCAAACATTTCTCGGTAAAAACGAAAAAATATATACATTAGAACAAAACAAAACCTTTGCTGTTTCCCTATTACGATTACTGGTTAGGGTTGTTGCAAATAGAAAGGAAAAACGTGAGAGCGAATTATATTTTTTCGATTGAAAAGATTACTGATTAGTCAAACTCAATTTATTGCTAATGCTCAGTCATCGTGAAATTCAACTGTTGAAAAAAAATGTTTTAATGATTGAGAAAAAAAATGTTTTATTGTAAAAACCATTGATTGAGAAAAGCAAAGATAAAACGAAAAACTCACTTTTTACTCAGACCGTTTTTTGAGTAGTTCAGAGATATATTTCAATTCACTAATTTCAAAAAAATTGATTCAGTGAAAGCGTTCCTAAAGATTGAAAAAAAAACCGTGTACATGCCGCAATCTAATAAAACGTTCGTAAAAGATAAGCCGTACTAAAAAAAAATTGTTTCTATCCTTAATTATTTTATATGTTATCTAAATTTTTATTCAAAATTCTTTATGAAATGTGGCTTAAAACTTTTTAAAATAGTTGTGGGCTTCTCATTTAACGAAAAAGAAAAGTTTGCGTCTAAAAAAACTAAATTAGCTGAACTTTTTCAAATGCTTTAAAATTGGTTGCTTTTAAGCTACTTTTGAAGAGATTGCACCAAAAGTTATATATTTCATAAACCTTTAGAAGTTTCTTATATTCTTTTGTGAAAGCTTTGTTGGGAGTTGGGAGCAAAATATTTCAAAGCTTCAAACATTAACGAGCATCATTTGCTAAAATACCAAGTAGCAAGGGCGGATCTAGAGGGGGCGGATTTTCAAAAAAACTTTGAATCAATCAGGTCGACCAAATTGATTTTGGAGCTCTCCAAAAGCAGTATAAAGACGCTGTTTTGGCCAAATTTTCTGCGCTGCAGGCAAAATATTGAAAAACAGATCAAAAAAGCCGTTTTTTGGACAATTTTTGGAAAAGTTTGACAAAAAGTGGCAATTTTTCGGCGCGCGCTCCCCCCTAAAAATTAATATATATATAGGCGCCTTAGAAAAATTTTAGAGTCGGTCGGCCAAAAATAGAGTTTTTAAAAGTACCAAAAGGGGGACCCTTTGGGTTGGCAGGGAGTCGAATCCCTGAGTGGGGGGTGGTGGAGGCGTCGGCCCCCCTCCCTTCCCCCCAAAATCCGCCCCTGCCGAGTAAAAAGAAGTTCAAGCGGACAAAAAATTTGGATTGCATTGAATTTTACTATTGGAAAACGAGACAGTGAAAAAATAAACCTCCGCGGCGGCATTCAGCTTTCGGATCAAGTCATTACAGATAGGAATGCGCATTAGTTGCTATTTACGGGGTAGTCAAGTTGGATTCCAATCCATTACAGATAGCCGCTTGGCTGATAACTATTTTTGTAATCACCGAGGTTTCATGGAAAAAATTGATCATAATAGTCAACGGAGTCTGTCCCCACCCAGATGATCAAAGCAAATGGATTGGCCAAATTTGATACGTTTGAATCAGTAGCGGATTTAAGGGAAAAGCTAAGCCCCCCCCCCCCCCCCCAGCGATTCGACCCCCTGCCGACCCAAAGGGTCCTCCCTTTCTTTTGTTTTGATATATCCATTTTTGATGACGGATCCTAAAATTTTTCTAAAGGACCCTAAAAATTTTCTAAATTTTCCAAATTACATTACGAGGCCAAACTGTGCAATCTAAATTTATATACTAATTTTGAGGGGGGAGCTTGCGCCAAGAAACGCAATTTTTTTGGTCAAAATTGTCCAAAAAGTGGCCCCAAAAAAGGCTTTTTGACTGTTTTTCAAAAATATGGCTGCCGCACAAAGTGCAACACAATAAGTGGAACCAAAAACAAAACATAAAGTGGAACACAAAGACGAAAATTAAAGTGGAACAAAAATCAAAGCAAAAAATGTAGAACAAAGTCAACACAAAAAGTGGAACAAAAATTCAAAATAAAAAGTGGAACAAAAAGGCAAATAAAAAATGAAAGACAATATCAAAACAAAAGCTAGAGACAGAATCAAAAAAAAGTGAAACACAAATCAAAACAACAAATCGAACACAAAATCAAAACAGAGAGTGGAACACAAAATTAAAGCAAAAAGTGAAACTTAAAACCAAAACATAAAGTGGAACACAAAATTGAAGCAAAAAATGTAAAACAAAAGACAACACAAATATTGCAACACAAAATCAAAACAAAAAGGAACACAAAGTCAAAACATAAATTGGAAGACAAAGTCAAATAAAAAACGGAACGCAAATATTCAAAACAAAAGAGAAACACAAAGTCTAAACATAAAGTGGAACACAAAGTCAATGCAAAAAGTGTAAAACAAAATCAATACAAAAAGTTGAACACAAAACAAAACATAGAGTGGAGCAGAGTAATAAAGGAAAATTTGAAACACAAAAAGTTGAATAAAACAGAAAACCGGAAACTCAAAACAAAAAGTTTAAAACAACTCAAAAATTGGAACACAAGTCAAAGCAAAAAGTGGAACACAAATCAAAGCAAAAAATGAAACACAAAGTCGAGTTTAAAAAATGAAGCACAATTTTGAATCAAAACAAAAGCGAAAGATGAAGTCAATTTGAAAAACGGAACACAGAGTCAAAATACATAGTGCAACACAAGAAGTGGAACAAAAAACAAAACATAAAGTGGAACACAAATTCAATAGAAAAAGTGGAACTCAAAGTCAAAAAATAAAGTGGAACAAAAATCACAGCCAAAAATGTAGAATAAAGTGAACACAAAAAGTGGAACAAAAATTCAAAAGATAAAGTGGAACACATAGGCAAATAAAAAAATGAAATACAAAATCAAAACAAAAGCTAGAGACAGAATAAAAAAAAAGTGAAACACAAAATCAATCAAAACAAAAAGTGGAACACAAAATTAAAGCAAAAAGTGAAACATAAAACCAAAACATAAAGTGGAACACAAAGTTGAAGCAAAAAATGTAAAACAAAGACAACACAAATAGTGCAACACAAAATCAAAACAAAAAAGGAACACAAAATCAAAACATAAAGTGGAATACAAAGTCAAAGCAGAACGTGTAAAACGAAGTCAACATTAAAAGTGGAATAGAAAATCAAAACATGAAGTGGAACACAAAATTGAAGCAAAAAAAGGAAAACAAAGACAACACAAATAGTGCAACACAAAATCAAAACAAAAAAAGGAACACAAAATCAAAACAAAAGTGGAATACAAAGTCAAAGCAGAACGTGTAAAACAAAGTCAACATTAAAAGTGGAATAGAAAATCAAAACATGAAGTGGAAAACAAAGTCAAGGCGAAACATGAAACACAAAGTCGAATAAAAAAAGTTAAACACAAGTTCAAAACAAAAAGAGGAACACAAAATCAAAACATAAAGAGGAACACAAAGTCAAAGCAAAAAATGTAAAACAAAACCAATACAAAAAATGGAACACAAAATCAGGACATAAATTGGAGCAGAAACTTAAGGAAAAACTGAAACACAAAACGTGAATAAAACAGAAAAACGCAAACTCAAATTAAAAGCGAAAGGCAAAGTCAAAACAAAAAGTTGATCACCAAGTCAAAACACAAAGAGGAACACAAAGTCAAAACAAAAATTGTGAAACAATTCAAAAATTGGAACACAAGTCAAAGTAAAAAGTACAAGTCAAAGCAAAAAATGAAACACAATGTCGAGTAAAAAATGAAACACAATTTTAAATCAAAACAAAAGCGAAAGATAAAGTCAATTTAAAAAATCAAACACAAAGTCAAAACACAAAGTGCAACACAAAATCAAAAGAAAAAGTGAAATACAAACTGCAAGAAGAAGTTAAACGCAAAATCAAAACAAAAATTCAGCGCAAATTCAAAACAAAAAGGAAATCAAAGTAAAAAAGGAAACACAAGATCGAAATCAAAATTGCTGAACATAGTCAACACAAAAAGTGGAACACAAAATCAAAAAAAGAGGAACATAAAATCAAAGCAAAAAGTGAAAAAAACTCAAATAAAAAACGGAACACAAATATTCAAAACAGAAGAGAAACACAAAGCCAAAACGGAACGTGGAACACAAAATTAAAACAAAGTGGAACACTTAGTCAAACGCAAAGTCAACAATAAAATTGAGAAGAAAGTCAAAACATAGAATGAAACAAAAAGACAAAACAAAAAGTGGAACACAAAATCAAAACGAAAAGTGGAAATTAAAGTAGAAAAAGAGGAACATGAAATCACAGCCAAAATGGTAGAGCAACGTCAACACGAAAAATGGAACAAAAAATCAAAACCAAAATGAATGAACGAGTCCAAGGTTTTCAGCGTCCTAAATGAAATTGTTCCGGATTGCTGCCAGCCTTTCTCCTTCTTTTTCGCCCAAATAGACTTGCTGTTGCTTCTCAATATGTTCCAATCCATTCAATTTGATTAGCTAGAAGCACAGGTCAAAAATTATTTCATTTTGCAGGATTTTTAAGAAATAGCAAATATCCCAATTTAATTTCGTTTTTTTTTTAAAAGTTCAAGGTAGTTGGGGCTAGCTTCTTTTTAGAGTTTCTGATTAGAAGAATAAAATCATGTTGTTTTCCATATATGGAGGTAGTACCAAATATATTAACCTATGTAGGAAACTTTCAAACATGGAAAATGTATAGTCGTTACTTTTCCTTTAGAAAACAACAATTCCGGCCAAAACTTATTGTTTTAAATGGCTGCTGCTTTGCGTCAATTTTTTCCCAGCTTTTATTCAGTTTATAAAAAAAATCGCTCTTTTTTTCTGTTTCCAGTGAGTTTTTCGAAAAAATACATAGTTACTCAAGATTTTTGTGTTTGTAGCCACAAATTTTTCAGGTCTTGGAGAGTTGCAAGTGCCATATAATTTTAGTAGCTCAAAATTATGGTCCCAATTTTGCCCAAACTTTGCTCGAAGGGAACACATGGTTCGACCACATTGACATGGAATGCAGTAATAATTTGTCAGTTATTACCCGAGTCGAGATTTTTCACCTTCTTTGAAGCAATATTTGAGCGGTTTGAGCGGTTTTTTTAGACAATTACGCTCAAAATATTGCTTCAAGTTAAAGTAAGTTAACAGTTATTAATAAGTATGGTTATGGATATAGTATTGGTTACAGATATACTTCTTATTTTCAGCTTCGATAATATATACAAAGTTTCTGCTTATTTACACAAATTCGATACAAAAATTTACAAAATTTTATATCACAAAGTATAATTTTTTCGCACCTAGTTTTGTACATATCATTTAAATTTTCGTCCAAGTTTCAGTACTTTTGCAAATTTGAACGGTCTAAACTTGCAAACTTAGATAAAATGAAAAAATGATTAAAGCAGTAAGAATGCTCGCACCTTATTGGTTGAAATCAAATATCTAACCAATATATTTAGAGTCTTGCGTGAAACTGTTCATGTCACGCAGTTACGTAATGTTAAAACTTTTTAGGCCGTTAAAATAGACAAGCTCCCCACTTTTGCCGGTTGCTCAAAAAAGCATGGCAAAAACTACCACAGCAATCGCTGAGATCGACAATCGGCCAATTGGAACTCCGCCTGTCATATCTGTTTTGTACACTGTTCGACCGTTGAGTGGCTGGATGTCCCTGTAAGTGTTCACAGCTTGTTGGTTGGCCGCATTCGTAGTTAGCAGAAACTGATCATACTGAAAAAAGAGCTCAGTCAATAAAAAATTTCATTACGCTTGATAAAACATTCAATAGAAAAGTTTAACATTTATTCAGTAGCTCACAAAAGGCTTAGAACTTCAGTCATTTCTGCTACGTAGGAAACCTGTGTAACTTTTTCACCATAAATATTAGATAGAACACAATTTATTAGCAATATATGCTGCAATTGTTAGACAGGTGCGCGAATTTTCCAAAAGTTGTTTTCAAGTTGAGCCAGAGTTTTCTAAATTGACCAAAATTGATATTCAAACCTCTCAAAAGCACTAAAAAATCGTATTAAAAAAATTTTGAATTTTTTCCAACGAAATTCTGAACAAAGAAATTTTTTAGGCGAAATTTTGAAGAAAAAAAAACAGCCCGAAAACGACATTTTTAAGCATTTGTGGAAAGTTTTGACGAAAAAAAACTGCGTTTTTGGCACGACGCCACTCTGAAATTCAGTCTATTTTGTGGCCAAAGGCGCTTTTTGATTTTTTAGTGTTGTTTGGCCGTGAGAAATACCAAAGGGAAACCTAGAAATGGTGGAAGGAAGGGAAATCATCCGTTTTTTGTATTTATAAATGATTCATCCTAGGTTCAGTCTGTTTTAGGGGATCGATTATCTTCACTATGTACAAAAGGGGGATTGTTTAATGATCTCTTATTGTCTTTTGTAAATTATCTTTTTATCATCTATTATTCCTCTACAACTAAGTTGAGTTTTTCGTACCTGGTCGGTGCTGAGATAGATGGGTTGTTCGAAGACATACCAGTTGACCACTTCCAGACAGGGGGGAGTGGTGAGTGATCCATCATAGTGGAACACTCTCTGGATCACATCTGGCTGGTACATCGGAATCAGGTCCGAAATGGACAGAGTATTAGCGAAAGCCTGGGTTGTACCCTCTATAAACAAAAGCGAATCAGCTTAAAACTGAGAACGGATTTGAGAAAAACAGGCAAACTTTTTGCCGAACTTATAAAAAAAAGTATAGAAATCACTGCGCATTACGAGGGCAAGCTGCTCTCTGGATACGCACAGTGTTTTTTGCGACCAGTCTCTTTGTTAAAACTTTGTTAAAACTTTGTTGCGTCAAAAGAAAACTTAAAATCCAAGAAAAATTAAAAAGAATGATTTTATGCTAGATCCACGCACAATTCACACAATCTATTTATTTTAAAATTCTATTCAGCTTTCACGATAAGTCATATTTATATTCAACCCATCTCAGTGTATGTTTTTCCCCTTAGTGAGATGGTTTTACGTCTACGTTTTTTCGGTTTGTCTATCTAAAATCTATAATAGAAATATAGTAGACTCCTCT